AAACCCTAAACCCTAAACCCTAAACCCTGGGCTCTCGCGGTGTTGTGGGTGCGCGCTGCTGCGGAAAAGAAACGGGGAGTCTCTTGAAATAAATTTGGCTGCGAGCTCAGTGAGGGTTTAGGGTTTAGGGATTCCCTAGGGTTTAGGGTTTAGAACTTCCCTAGGGTTTAGGGTTTAGAGCTTCCCTCGGCTTTAGGGTTTGGGCTTTGCCTCGCGTTCAGGGCATAGGTTTTATTCCCTAGGGTTGAGGGTTTTACCAGGGTTTAGGGTTTAGGGTTCTGCTACGGTTTAGGGTTCTGCTAGGGTTTAGGGTTTCGCAAGGGTTTAGGGTTTAGAGCTTCCTTGGGGTTTAGGACTTTGGGACCAGAGCTGAACTGGACAGTGAGTCCGCGCCAGGGTTTAGGGTTTAGGGTTTAGGGTTTACTCGAAGTCCGAAAAGCCTCGGGAGGCGAGAAGGGTTTTGAGGGTTTCCAAAGACGAGGGTTTAGGGTTTGGGTGTTTTCGCAAAACCGCGTTTTTTGGAAAGTGTTTATAAATGAGTCGAGCTGCTGCAGTGTTGGCCAACAGCATAAAGTCTTCAACCTAAAATAAATAAATAAATAAATAAATAAATAAATAAATAATAAATAAATGAATAAATAATAAACAATAATTTAATAATAAATAAATAAACAATACATAAATAAATGATAAATGAATAAATAAATAAATAAATAAATAGTAAATCTATAAATAAAAATAAATAAAGAATAAGTGAATAAATAAATAAATAAGTGAACAAATAAATCAATAACAAATCAATTAAAAAAATAAGTAAATAATGAAGTAATAATAATGAGATATAGTAAAAAAAGAAATAAATAGTAAATACTAAATAATAAATAAATATATAATGAACAAATGTGTATTTAAAGAACTTAAATAAATAATTAGGAATAAATAATAAATAATAAATAAATAAATAAATAACTAAATAGTAAATAAATAGTAAATAGATAAATCAATAAATAAGAAAATGAATAATCAATGATAAAAAATAAGTAAATAAATAATAAATAAATAATAAACAAACATAAATAAATAATAAATAAATAATAAATAATAAAGAAACAAATGAACAATAAATAATAAATAAACAAATGATAATAAATGAACAATAAATAAATAATAAATAAGTTCACAATAAAAATCAAGTAAAAGTAATAAAAGTAATATTAATGAAAGCAAATGATAAAAAATAAAAGAAAGATTCAAACAGAAGATAAAAATTAGAAATTAAAAATAAAATAAAAGGGTAATTAAAATAAAATAAAAACAAAAGATAAAAGGAAAGTAAAAAGGTAAGAAGATTAAAACATAATAACGATAATAAACAATAATAAAAATAATGGAACAAAAACAAAATAAAACAAAATAAAACAAAATAAAACAAAACAAAATGAAACAAAACAAAATAAAATAAAATAAATCAAATAAACAAATAAAATTAAATAAAGCAAGTGAGATAAAACAAGTGAAATGACATAAACTAAAACAAAACAAATTAAAAAATCAAATAAACCAAAAAAGTAATGAAATAAAATAAATGAAATAAACCAACAAAATAATTAAATGAAATAAACCAAAAGAAATAACTAAATAAAATAAACAAAGTAAATAAAATAATAGAATAAATAAAAAAATATAAAAATAAAATAAATTAAATAAATTAAATAAATTAAATAAATTAAATAAATTAAATAAACAAAAAAATAAATAGAATAAAAAGAATAAATAAAATAAATGAATAAATAAATAGAATAACTAAAACAAATGGATAAATAAAATAATAAAATAAATGAATAAATGAAATAAACGAATAAATAAAATGAGTAAAATGAATTTAAAAAATAAATAAATAAAATAAATAAAATACCATTTTATTAGTTTCTCTTGCTTGGTACAAAGCGACATCAATTCCTTCTGCCGTCGCTGCTGCAGCAGCGAATTCTGCTGCTGCTGCTCCCTGCTGCTGCTGCTGCTGCTGCTGCTGCTGCTGCAGCTGCTTCTTGATAATTTGCACATCAGCACTTGCAAGTTCTAAAGCCCCTTTTGCTTTTCTTCTTTTTCGAATTTGCTTTCCAAGAAAAAGCAAAAGACGCAGCTTCTCCGCCAACTCCGACCTAACCACAAACCCTAAACCCTAAACCCTAAACCCTAAACCCTAGCCCCTGTTTACTTCCTTTCAATTCCTTTCCAACCCCCAGCCCCTAAACCCCACCCCCCAACCCCTAAACCTCACCCCCGAAACCCTAAACCCTAAACCCCAAACCCCACCCGAAACCCCAAACCCTAAACCCCAAACCCTAAACCCTAAACCCTAAACCCTAAACCCTAAACCCTAAACCCTGACTGGTCGGTGGGGTCGTCGATGATGTCCTGGGCCTGCTGGTAAGTGAGGGTTTTGCGGGAGTTGATAATTGTTTTTTGAAATTCTTCTTTTATCACAAACCCTTTTTCGTCGATTAAAAACAAAACTGAAAACGCCAAACGGTCTTGGCCCTCCCTTTGCAAAACACCACAAAGGAGTTTATTTATTTATTTATTTATTTATTTATTTATTTATTTATTTGTTTGTTTGTTTGTTTATTGTTTGTTGATTGTTTGTTTGTTTTTAGGGTTTGTTTATCTCTTTTGTTGTTTATTTGGGTCTTTTCGGGGTTTATTTATCTCTTTTTATTGTTTAGGGTTTAGGGTTTAGGGTTTAGGGTTTATAGCTCGCTAAGAAAGCGAAAAGAGCGGGCCGGCAGCACCACCCTTCCGCTGCTGCTGCTACTGCGTCTGCTGCTGCTTCTGCTGCTGCTACTGCTTCTGCTGCTGCTAGTGCTGCTGCTGCTGCTGCTGCTGCTGCTGTGGGGTGTACGTACACCAGGGAGCACAAGTTGGAAGTGAGGAGGGGAGGAAGCATTTCATTTCTTCTTTCCACCAAATAAACTGTTGTGCACCTTTGCGCAGCCTCCAGGTCCAACGCGCTTCCTGCAAACCCCAAACCCTAAACCCTAAACCCTAAACCCTAAACCCTAAACGCAGCGCTCCTGCGCAGTTAAGCCCTGGCCCAAGCACCCGCTCGCGCTGCGCTTGGAGGCGAAACGCACGAACTCTTTTGCGAAGAGATGCGAGGGTTTAGGGTTTAGGGTTTAGGGTTTAGGGTTTGGGGTTTGGGGTTTACGGCTTGCTGCTGGGGCTTGGTGGGGTTTCGGGTTTGTGGAAAAGAGGGCGCGGGGCTGTTTCTCCCGCGGGCTCCAGCCTAGGGTTTAGGGTTTAGGGTTTAGGG